ATTCCATAAAGACTGCAATATGGAATATAGCAAAAGCGTGGGACGAAGTTGATCAAAAAACCCTTAAGAATGCTTGGAATAACGTTTGGCCAGCAACTTTTTTTTTTGGTAATGATGAGGACGAGCCCATCTTTGAAGGATTTCGTCCAAACAAAGAGAAAGATAGTGTGAGAGAATTGTTGCACTACATCAAAAGTCATTGTGAGAGGGAAAAATTAGATGAAGAAGATATTGTAGAAACATTAAACTACGACGATGATGCCCCAACTGTGACCCAATTAACAGACGAGGAAATAAAAAAACATAGCTTTAAACAAACAGGATAGTGATACAGAAAGTGTAGATAGTGAAGAAGAGATAGCAGAAGAACGGATTTCAACTGACGATTTAGTTAATCATTTAGAAAATGCCATTAAAGGACTGGAACAAAGAGACTTTATTTCTGAACAAGAAATCATGTCGTTTCATAGGATTAAGGAAAAATTGCTAAATAAGAAACCGAAAATGAAACAGCTTTCTTTAAAGGATATGTTTAAAAAATAAAATATTTATACTGCCTACGCATTTTTTATGAGGAGTTTTTGATTTCTATGTAAGGTAAATAATTGATCTTTATTTTACGTAAACATTATTTTTTTAATATTTTGCTTGATTTAAATCGTTGAGAAAAGCAATTTTTTTCTGGTTTATGTGGATTATTGTAACATTAATTTTAAAGTTTTTTTTTCTTTGTTATTTCAATGTTGCCTATGCATTTTTTATTAGGAGTTTTTGATTTCTATGTACGGTAAATAATATATCTTTATTTTACGTTAACCAGAGCTCGTTCTAGGCAATATAAACAGGGCGCAGCACCCTGCTGCCCTTTTAGTCAAAAGAATCCACCCTGTTGCCCCTGAAGTAAATTAGTGCCCTGATGTAATAGAGTCCATACCCTTTCTTTCCTCAACCCTTCTTTACTTTTCCACCAAACTTTACAATGGATTTCTTAAACTTTTCAACTCTTTTTATTTAGTTTGTTGTTGCTGTCAATACATAGATTTATATGGGAAAGGAAAAATAGCCATCGCACCCCCTTATTGCACTTATCTTTGAAAGTTTGCAGTTACTTCCACTATCATTAAATCATAATTATTAATCATTTTAATTATTAAATCATAACTACAGACACTTAAAAACATACATTTATTATTTTACACTGGTGTACAAAACTTAAGCAACAAGGGCGTTTTTTGCCATAACTCTACAAGAAATCATCCGATTGACATGAAATTTGAATATGATGTACATTATTTTCTACTTAAACGATGGTAAAACCAGGAGTTCTTGGGGTAAACGTCTCCATTCCTGCTTTAACGCATCTTTCAGCTGATGGGTGTTACCAGGAGGATACTGTCGTGTCGCAAGACGTCTCCCTAATGCATCCCACACATGCTCTATGGGATTTAGATCTGGAGAGTAAGCTGGCCAATCCATTCGTGTGATATCTTCACTTTCCAGTAGCTCTTGAACATTATCAGTACAGTGTGGCCGGGTATTGTCATCCATAAAAATGAAGTCTGGTCCAATGGCCCCTCGGAACAGACACACATAGGGTAGGATTACCTCATTGCAGTAGCGGTCTCCAGTTACAGAACCTCGGTCGAAGATCTGAAGCTCAGTTCGCCCGTTCAACATAATGCCACCCCAGACGACAACTCTAGGACCACCGTAACGATCTCTTTCCGTGATGTTATTGGGATGAAATTGAGCTCCAACCGCTCTCCAGATCAACTGACGTTGAGAATCGCTTGTAGCACTAAAACGACTCTCATCTGTGAAGAGGACGCGACTCCATTGATGAGGTGTCAGGTTTCGTGTTCTCTGCACCACTCTAAACGGTGCCACCGATGGCTAAATTTTAAAGGTATGCAGCGCTCAGGACGTCTAGCAAATAAGCCACCTTTGTGGAGGCATCTGGTCACTGTAAATCTTGATACTTGTCGTCCTGTGGCTGTGCACCAGTTGCTGAGATATGGCGCTCGCTGACTGAAAACGGTTTCTTTTCGCCTGGAGGACAATGTAACGGTCATCTCTTGGTGTTGTTTTCCTTGGACGGCAACCACCAACCTTCCAAACAGCAGTACCAGTAGTTTTAAAGATATTCCAAGCACGAGAAACAACACTTTTGTGGATCCCGAACTCTTCGGCGACACTGGTCACACTACGCCCCTCCTCAAGCTTCCCAATCATTCTTCCTCGAGTAAAGTCGTCTAAATGATTTCTTGAAGACATGTTTCACAAAACAAATCACTTGCANGAGCCAAGTTATTCTTGGTCTTCCCCTTTTCTTCCTGCCATCAGGAGCCCAGGAGAGAGAAACACATCAATTTTTGCTAGAATTCTAAGTAAATGTTCTGTACACCTTCTCTTGTTGATTATTTATTCTGTTGCAATGAGAATCGCTTTTTCCAATATATTTTCATTTCTTATTTTAGCAAGCAAAATTATTTTGAAGATTTTTCTTAGACAGTAAAAGGCTTTTAGATGCCTGACTTTCTAAGGCACCATGCTTCAGAACAATGTAATAAAATTGCTCTGACTATTGTTTTATAGATATTTATTTTTGTATGGTATTGAATGAATGTTGATTTCCAGAATTTTTCAGCGTTTCAAAAAGATGCACTTCAGAGTAGTCGCAAACAATTAGAAAAAAAATTACATGATTTTTCCAGAATGATTTTAAGAAATCTGTTTTTTTTTTTATAATAACCATCATTGAACAGTCAACCCAGTTTTGGGTTTATGACTACTAATGTTCAACTCCTTAGTCTTCTGATTTTAAACCCAATCCAGAAGACAAGGGAACTCCTGGATCAAGTATAAGAACAAAAGTGGAGGACTTTTTGATGGAACTAGCTTGCATTTGCATTAAATGGAGAGGAAAAGCGCAAAAACTTCCCACAGTTAGCCTGACGGCAAGGGGACTCTAACCCAGGATTCTACCACTGAGGATATTTTACGTCAGCATGGTGGTTGGTGTGAGTCAGGTGTTGAATGGACCAGCAATGGCTTAAATTTGAACCCGGTTAACCTCATAGGAAAGCGAACGCTCTATCTCCTCAAATTTCACAAGTTTACAAAACCAGGATGTGGAGCCGGCTTTTTCAACAAAAAAATAAGGACCTTTTATGCACTCAAAAATATTTTTAAGCACATTTCCAAAAAATATAATCATAATTAGGATATGCACACTAATATGAATTTTTTCTTCCTATTACAGAAAGTTTTTGAAAATTATTGAAAATATCATCAAAAAATACATCAACAAAATGCAAAATAGTTACCAAAGACTTACATTATCATGATAAAACAACTAGTTTCTAATTAAAAAAATTATTTTCTTACTATCACTATTCAGTAATGCTATCAGATACTATTCAGTAATAAGACATCATGAAAAATAATAATTAAATGTCACTTAAATGCAAGCAAGCTTACTAACCTGGTGCTAAAACATTTGCTTTATTTCCTAATTTTTCACTTTGATGTTCAAATTTTCTAGCGTGGTTGCAGCTAAATATATCTATATCACGAACACCATCTTCGTTTTCCTAATAAAAAAAGAATCAGATTGCCATATAGTAAGTTGCAATCTCAATCATTTAGTAGAATGCATTAAGTTTTTTCAGGTTATAATTTCTGTTACAAAATCAAAGACAAATATATTCTTTCTTCGAAAAAACGTGCCTTTTTCTTTTTACTTAATATAATAAAGATAACCCCGAAAAAATAAAGATAACCCCATCAACGTGCCGCACCCTAACGCTTGATTGTTAATTTCCCCACCCTCAACTTGAATGATCTCTTTTTTACACATATTTTCTCTATACAAATAAGGAGGGAATGGATTTTTCTCTCCCACCTTAATGAATGACGGGGAATCCCGTTTCTTAACAATCCCGTCTAAATATGGAGGGAATGGATTTTTCTCCCCCACCTACTCATCTTAATGAATGACGGGGAATCCCGTTTCTTCCTTGAATCGTTCTAGTTCAAAATTGCAGAGAGAGCAAAGTAATATTTTCATTAATGTCAATTTTTTTCCGTTTTCTAAATTTTAAGCACTAGTTGTTTTTTTCTAATATTTTGTTTTTTATTGATTCAATATCACATTCAAATACTAAAACATTATTGCCCAAAAAATAACGTTTATTTATTTTTTGCTTCTTAGATTCAGATCGTTTTAAGCTTTGTTTATCTTAGGGGTGTATTATACGGAAAAATCTATTATCTGGACTTTGGGAAGTCCCACCGGTTTTGGATGTGCGACATTCCACTGTATTTAAATTCCCTGTATTTTCCAGGTTTCCCTATTCTCCCCGCGGAGTGGCAACCATGGTAAATGATAGTAATTATTTTTCTCAACATACCTAGGTCATGAAAAAGTTTTGCTTGTTCATGTACTTTCTCCCTTGCCTTCATGTTACCCCAAAGTAAGCCTCCTTATAATCTTGAAAAAAATTTACAAGATTTCAGATGGCGTGGATAATCTAAACCAGAGTTAGAATAACAGGGATAGATAACATTTGCAAAGACTTAAATGTTACAATAAGAATTCATAAAACAAAAGTGACTAATCCTCCCCTTTGTCATAATTACTCAGGGTTGCCACTCAAATCTAGAAAAAAAAATTCCTGTGTCTTTCCTGTACATAGCATACACTAAGAGGAAACACACAACCACTGTGCTCTTGTGTGAGCTATATTGGGCTAACTATATTTATTACTTTTAATTGATGGAAAAACTTGGAGGAAAAAAAAGAGGAACAGCCGAACATACTAAAATAATGCTACAGTAAATGAACTAGTTTAATATAGCAGAAATATCATCCTTAAATATCCCATAGATTACACTTTGAGTGGTCTTTTAAAAGAGGAAAATAAGAAATAAATTTCTTCCTGTATCCTGTATTGTAACTTCCTAAAATTTTGAGTTTAACTAATAATTGATTTAGCAAATATATGTATATACATACATATATTGTGAAAAGTGATGATTCAAATTCGAAATTTATGCATCGTGATATTGTATTGAAAATTGGGCAACCTAATTGGCATATCTCTTAGAAAATGAACTTTCCTTCTTTCAAACAGTACAGTTTAAGGGAAAAAATCTCCAGTTGTGGCCCTTTTAGCATTAGATTATAAAACTAGACATACTCCAATAGTAAGGATGCATTAGTTAATAGTCATCTGAAAAGAAAAATTCCTGAGTAATGTAGATTCTTTGAGCCTTAGATCACATGACAATCAGATTAAATAAATCAATAAATGTGTGATTATTTCTAAACAAATTATACTAATTTTGAATCACTTTAAAGAACAGTTATAATGCGTTAATATGTTCATTTTTTTTCCAGAAAATCGTTATTTTTTTTTAAAACTTTAAATGTTTCTCTTCTTATTAAGTTATGCAATAGCTTTTTCAATTAAATAACTAATTTATAGGAAAAGTATCACTAGAAGAAAAAGATCTTCTGAAATACCAATATGTATCAAAAGATTATTCATAGACTCAATGGATTAGCTGTAAATTCAATAGATTATACATAGATTCAATAGGATATACATATAAAAGGTAAGAAGTTGAAAGCAAATATAAATTCAACAGGGTTCCCACTCAATTTCAGAAAAAAAAATTTCTGGCTTTTCCAGGTATCTCAGGTAAATTTCAATGAAAATCCATACCATATTTTATCTATACCATACAATTTATCATCAGAAAACTTTATTCTATTCATCGTGTCAAATATTAGATTTTGTGAGCAAAAACACATAATAGTATGAGAATTGAAACATGAAAAAATTTCACTAAAAATATGAATTTTATAAAATAATTGGAGTAGACGTTAGAATTTTTGAACTCCATAACATATTACTGTTACTGACAATTCTAAGATTGGTTATTTTCCAGGTATGATATAGGAATTCTTCAGCTATTTTGTAAAAAATAGCAACTTTCCTGCTTTTTAGAGTTAAAATAAAATTCCCTTTCAATTCTAGATTTTCCCTGTTCGACCTGACCTGCGGGAGCCCTGATTCAAACATCAATGGAAAGTTTTCAATTATAAAGGTTAAATTAGTTAAATAATTATTTGATAGTGTAAATAAAGAAGAATTACATACAAACTACAACTGAAAATACAAAATACAGAGAAATAAATAATTACCGTATATTTGGAACGCAAAATGGCAAACTGGAATAATTTGTTCTTAGGTTTTAAACCCACCATATCATAAATGACGTAACCACCATAATCAATAACAAAGACACTCAAATTTTTTAATGGATCACCTTCTGATTTTGTTTTGATGAATACAATCATTTTATCAAGAATAGCACCTAAAAATAATGAGAGATTTTTATACTGTTAACTTATACTGTTGAGATTTAAACACTCTGTTTATAACAAGAACCAAAACTAATTTTGAAATTTTTATTTAACAGAACTTTATTTGAATAAAAAGAAATTATTTTTTAAATAATAACAATCTTGCCATTTTTTAGACTCAGGACAGGTCTATTAAATATGTGACCTGATAACATTTGATTAATACTCAATGTAAATTTTCCTATATTTTTCAGTTAATTTTTTTAATTAATTTAGTTTAAATTAGTTAGTTTTTTCAGTTAATTTAGTTTACAGGAGAAAAGATTTTTCATCAGCTAATTTTTAGTTTCTTAAAAAATATACCCGCCTCTTATATGGCTATAGTTGGCTTTTGGTATTTACCACTTGAACTACTATATATATATTATCCAGTATAATATTATCCCCTTGCGCACATCCATTTTTGGGCCAATCCTTGGTAACTAGCAAATCAAACACGCTTCAGTACTGCAGTAAGAATACTGCACGCCATATAACATAATCCATCTATTTACGCTTTTAGCTCCATTTGCACTTCAATTTGCATATTTTGTAATCTGGCAATCTTATTATGAAAATATTTTAAGTTATTCTTCAGAGTTTCCTGTACATGTAGGTTCATTTGAATTGCTCAATTTATAGATTTCTTTTTGTGTTTCGACCTGTTTGTTCCTTACATTTTATTTGCTGCTTTTTATGTGATATATTTTTTACTTTATGTGTTCTATTTTGTTTCTATTTTTTTTAATGCTCCTCACTATTGTATTAATATATTTTGCTTGGGTATATTGATACATTATTAGAAATCACTCCTTTTTGCGGACATAATCACGTGAGCTAATGAAGAGATTATATCTTTTTAGAGATTATATCTAGTTTTTTTTCCAGCTTTTCAATATATATTTTTAAATGTTTAATTTTAATTATTTTTCTTCTTCTCTTTTCCTTAATATATTCTCTAAATTTCATTTCAAAGCTAATTCCTTAATATATTCTCTTATTTTATGAAATCTATATACTTGTAGCTTATGCTCAGTAAATAAAACATGTTAATTTTCTCATTTTTTCTCCTTTTTGTCTTTATTGTGCTACACATATAGTAGTGCATCTACCACTACAAAAATATAATTCTAATTCACTAGTACATAAGACATGCAAACTCGATTCTATGATGGGGAACCTTTTCATAGATGAAGGTTGACATCGTCGATAGCAACACACCACACTTAGGTGACTTTTGAATGTGATGTGAACATGCCTACTTTAACAGAAACTCCCCCTTTGATGTGAACATGCCTACCCTGGCAGAAACGCACACTACGATTTGAACACGCCTACTTTGATGGATGGTTCACATTGAACAGTTGACTTGCTACTTGTGACAGCGAGATTGTCCTTCTCAGTCTCAATGACACACAAAGAACAACGTATACACTCGATTGCTAAAGGCAACACTGGAGCGACCCGTGATCTTAATACAGCTCTCATGAAAAAAGTATGGTGATCTTAATACAGCCCTCTCGGCTTCTCACGAAACAGCAATAAATCATCAAGTGGTATCCATTCATCGAATTCTATCAGAGATATAATTCTGGTGGGGGAGTACTGCAGTGTATCCACCACTACAAAAATACAATTCCAATTCACTAGTATATAAGGTATGTTAACTCGATTCTGTGGTGGGGTACCTTTTCATAGATGAAGGTTGACATGGTCAAATATATCCTCACATATATATATAATTATTTGATATATATTTAACTTTCTTATATTTCAAATTGAATTAGAAGGTTTCAATACTTATTAATATAACAGAATATTTTATTTATACAGTTGAATCCTGTTCCTAAGTTATATCTGGCATTGCCCCATATAATCTGGATGAAATTTTTTGTTGTTGCTTACCCCGTGGCAGAATGGCAGCGACATTGTCGCAGAACGTTACAGAGTTCATGAAGAAAGATTTTTCTTTTGAAAAGTAAAAAAATTTTAGTTTTCTTTTCTACAGAAGTTTACACGTAATATTTAAATCATGCATTTAGATGCATTAGACTTTTTGACGCACTTAATTTAAGCTGATAGTATCTTAAATCAATGTAATGTTTCAATTGTATTTTCGGCAGTTATTGATATTGATTTTCACATGTTTTTTAAATTTCTCAATACAGTCAAACCTCGATATCTCGAACTTGAAGGGAAAGGAGAAAAAATTCGAATTATGGGAAATCGCATGTTATCGATGGTAGAATAAAGAAAAATGCTCTTTGCATACCTTATTTACTATTCCATATTTATTCTAAAAACAATTTTTACCCTTCCATTTAAAAATAGATTCAATTGTTGTTTGCTTTAGAGATGCGTAAGAAAGTTTGTCTGTAACACTTTCCAAGTGGACTATAGCCTTAAATGTCTCCTCATCAAGTTTCATGAGTCCGGCCAATCTGTCCCAATAATTTTGCGGTATAGTTTTCAGCAGAATTAACGATATTGATGGCTTGACTACTTTCGTGATCTATAACCTTCCGTTAGGCGCGCACTTGTTTCCGACATGGATATTCGCGTTGCACCTATGAGGTGTTTCTGATTTTTTGAAAGCCAAATGAAATTTAGTCTAGTTTAAATAGTTAATTGTTACCAATTTAAAACTCTTTAGAGAGATAAATATCAAAAAACTTATTTAGTTTGAAAAATTTATTAAAAGGCAGTATCACAAATAATTGTTCAACATAAAGAAAAACAAAGTAAAGTAAATTTGTAAAAAAAACAAAACATTAAGAGTCTTGTATATAGGAACAACTTATTTCAATATCACATGTTAGTACAAAAATATTATTTTAGAGGCTGTCTGATGCTACCTTCATGTGAACAAGAATTTTTGCAAGAGGTCCTTACAAATTGCTGATACATGACTCAAAAATAAGTATTTTCCGCAAGTAGCACAAGTATACTTTGCATTTTTTCGTTGTTTATTTTTTTGACATTACTCGCACAATTTTCTTTTCTTGTCTTGATTTTCAGACAGTGAATTTTCAGCGGCTTGAGAAGTTTGTTTTTGCCAATCGAAAGCGAAGTACCGAAGATAAATTTTTCTTGCTCCCGCGTCGGATCTCTTCCTCCATCACAAGATGTTCAACCAATTGACGCAAGAAGGTTCTGCGGTTTTTTACTCCGTAACCATTTTCTGTGTATATAACTTGACCATTTATACCTGCTACGTTGAGTAGGACAGAAAATGAGATAAAATATATATATTTAATTCATAAAAATATTATATCCATAATACTTGCGTCAATGGTCGCGCTGCACCAGAGGGGTGATTTGAGCGGTTCCAACTCTCCATCGACATGTTCGAAGGTCGGTTTTACACGGACATTTGAGTAATCCAAAGTTAGGAAGATAACATTAGGCTTGACCCCCGGAAACATCTATTGACGGCAAAGGAGGTGGAAGTGCAGTAAGGATGCACCTGTGAGGTGCGCGCGTCTAAAGGAAGGTTAATGCATCCAGCCTTCTTGAAGCCATTCATTATCGTAGAGGAAGACACATCATTCCATGTCACTGACGTCTTTATGTCCATTTTCTTAAAAAAGTTCATCATTATGTCAATTGGTTTTCTATTCATAAAATTTTTTATCTTTTTTGGAATATTTTCTTATTTTCAGAAAAAAAAATCTACACTATTTATGGAAAAAAAATTCAAGTTATCGAGGGATTAGAAATTTTTTTTCGAGAAATCAAGTTTTTTTTAACATTGAGTGTATAGGAAATTTGAAGGGAATTTGTTTCCCTTCGAGATATCGAAAAATTCATGAAATCGAGGTTCGAGTTAGCGAGGTTCGACTGTATATTTCAAACAATATGAAAAATTCGAATCCTGCATTTGATTATTTACTTTTTAAGGCAACGATTCTATCGAATTTTTGGCAGTTATTGCTATTGATTTCTCAATAAATCTTAAATCAATTGCGTGATTTCGTCGTCGATCTTTTTTTTTGTTTTTTGAAAACGGATTTCATGATTTTTAATTAATTTTTTTTAATATGATGATGATTATGTACAAAATGCGAAGGAAATAATTTGTGCGTTTACCCCCCACATTCAACAAAATGCGAAAATATCATCCATAATATTAGAATAAAAAACTATTGCATGTTCAATTAAAAATTCTCAAGTTTTTTTGTAAACACAGCGCTTTTGTTAATTATTTATTAAATTAAATTAGTAATTATTCATAGTTAAGTAGTAGTTATTAATTACATTAGTAATATACATGTTTGTCATTATTAAAAGCATCATGCAGAAAGATTTTAGTCCTAGACAGTTTTGTCGCAGATAGCTCAAAAAAATTCTGCCACTGGGGTTGCTTACTTTTCCAGCTTTTCAAGGAAAAATTTCCCTTAAAATCTTCTCCTAATATTTTCTGAAATTTCCTAAGTGACAAACATTACACCGTGCAAAATCAGACACACAAATTTAAGCTTAACCTTAAGAGCAAATGTGTTTTCAACTCCATGACAAAAGAATAAAATTACATGATTTCGCCATAGGCATTTTAAGAAAATTCCAGTAAAAGAAAACAAGGAAAAATAGGTCACTGCTGTAAAAAGATAGCAAATGGGATTACTGATCAGAATTAATTTTTTATACAAGAATAACTTTATTTAACACATAATTAGCATGTTTTTAGATGTATAAAGCAACTATTGGAACTTCTAAATAACAATAAAAGGTAGGGGTCAATTTAACAATGTCTTGGCTCGTAAAAACTCGCAAAATTTGTGAATTAGTCAATTCATTTTGATAATTTTTTTTACGTTAAAAAATCTGGACAAATTGGTGATTTTTTAAAAATAGCTTAGTTTTTTTTTTAAATATTAAGGCATTTGTCAATTCTCTATATCAAGATAACCAATGTAGTTTTAAATTGAAGCTTTGCTGTGAGGCACATAAACAAGCTATTTTTTTCTTGTAGAAAGAAAGCATTTCAGAAAACACCCTTCAATATAGAAGTCATCAGTATAAAATTAAAGACAATATTTTAACCCCTATGATGTTGAGATATATTTAAGGACTTACCTATTAATATTGCACAGCCCCTAGGATCAGTTGTTAAGAAGTGTCCAGGAAATTGTGCATTATAACCAGGTTCACAGAATGGGTATACAATCTAAAGATTCGTAATGAAAAAAAATGTTACTAAATTTTCATAATCAGTTTGCAAATACAATAGAAACCAGAATACCCATCCACAGGACCATATGTCCAAAAATCAAAATTATTAGACAGTAAATTTTTAAAGCATATAGACAATAAACAATGAGCAAGATCACATAAAATAGTTAAAGACTATAATGAAGTTAAAAAAAAAAAAAAAAAACACCAGATTAATTGCATTTAATTTTTTATCTTAAATAATGAAACAATACCATAAAAAGAATCCTTGATATATTTTTCCTCCTGTTGGCAGAATGTTACCAAATCTTTAAATCAATCAAAAAGAAATAAATCTATTACAAAAGAAAATACTAATTCTAAATATATTCCACTATGACATCAATATCATTGCTTAATATTTTCAATTAAAATAATAAAGAAGTCAAAGTAAAAGCAAACCCAAGTTTTAATTCATTATTCCTAAATTAAAAATGATTTATTGGTTTAAACATAACACGATAATAAAATATTTTACATACATGCATTAAAAATTAAAAGAAAAAAAAACGAAAGTAAAAAACAAACCAAAGAAATGTTCACTTTGAAAAATTTTTTTTTAAAATTATTTGTTGAAGAAAAAAAAATCATGCTTTTGAAACATCATTAGAAGTTTTTTTATTTAATTATTTAAAATAATAAAAAGTAGTATTGACTAATGGTCAAATTCTGTACTTAATAAATGTAAAAATATTTTTTCTTTTTTGAAAATAAAATCGACTAAAGATTTATTTGTTTAAAAATGATACTGACTATCTAAAAAGTTATAAAACAAACAAGTATTGAAAGAATTTTAATAAAAATTAAAAAAAAAAAAATACTTTAAATACTATCGTTAAATTATTAAAAAGCGTCAAAACATTACTAAACTCTTTATTAAATTTTTAAAAAAATTATTTGTTTTAACTGTACTACGCACATGGTAGGCGGCAATAAGTACGTGTTTTAGGGAGGGGACTGAAAAGTAACGTCATCTTTGCGAAAAAACTTCGCTAAGAGTAAAAAAGTCTTCTAATAGTCGCCTATTCCTGAAAATAGTTGCTTTTTTAGCCTTTTCAGACAAAAAAAGTAGCCATAGTCGCCTAAGGCCGAAAATAGTAGCAAATAGTCGCATTTTAGTAGTCTGTGGCAACCCTGTAAGTTTCAAGAAAAAGTTCTGTTGAAGGTGGCATAACTTAGGAAAATTTGTGTCATTCGTCACTGAGGCAGAATTTTTTCGAGCTATCTGCGACAAAACTCTCTAGCACTAATGTCTTTCTGCAAGATACTTTTAATAATAACAAACATGTACCTTACTAATTTAAAATAACAAAAGCGCTGCATTTACAAAAGGAAAAAAAAAAGTATTTATATATTTTTTTTAATTGAACGTATAATTTTTTTATTCTAATATTATGTGATATTCTCGTATTTTTTTGGGGGGGGGGAGGAAAACATAAATTATATCCTTCTTCGCAATTCGTAAACAATTGTCAAAATGAAAAAAAAAAAGAAATAAAAATTATGAAATCCACGGTAGTAATTGACGAAAAAAAGATCCACGGCGAAATTACGTAAATCCGGCTTCGTAAATCCGTGTTTCGTCATTTCAAGATTGGGTTGCTGTAATAAATAACATCTCATAAAAAATATTGGATTCAAAAACTGTGGAGAAGTCAATAACAATAACTGCCAAAAAATTCGATTTTATTCTTGATTGAAAATGTAAATACTCAAATGCACAATTCGAATTTTCCATATTGTTTGAAATATGTCAGGATATTTAAAAACCATATGAAAATCAATATCACCAGTAAACTGCCGAAAAAACAATCAAAACATTACATCGGTTTACAATACTATGGGTGAAAATTGAGCTTGTCAGAAAGTGATCATCTAAATGGTCAAATATTGTGTGTAAATTTCTGCTGAAAAGAAAGGTAAAATTTTTTACTTTTCCAAAGAAAAATCTTTCTGCAAAAACTCTGTAATGTTTTGCGGCAATGTCGCCGTGTCACTGCAATTCTGCCACGGGGTCATGTCTAAAGCAGTTTTATTGCAAGCATGCAGAATCACAAATACAACACTATTCACAATGGAACCAAATGTAGTCATGTGAGTTCAATTTGATAGTACTATAATTGCTGTATACATTAAGTTATAAATAACGAGAGAGAATATAGATCAGATGGAAGAAAAAAATACCTTTTCAAATAGCTTTTGTTCTGATTTTCGTTTTTGCAAAAGTTTACTATCGAAATCCAATAATTTTTGGTACTTTAAAATTATTAATTTCCCTGCATCAGTTGTCAAAACTGCAACATCTAAAATAAGTTTAAAAAAAAATTCATTCACAAGTTGTTTAATCATAGTTTGATACAAGACAGCATGAAATTTAAAGCAGAATATAGATTAAATAAATTTAAAAACATGAAGACGATCCAAGTAAAACTTAGTAAAAGAACAGCTTTTTTTTATTCAAATTTCAATTTTTGTTAACCAATTGCATATTTCAGTAACATAAAGAATGAAATATTTATTATCAAGAAGTACATGAAGAATTTAAAAGAATTATACTATGTTGCAAGTAAATACAATACAAGAATTAAGCAATCATCCGTAACTTTATATCATTTTATTATTAAATAATATAAGTATGCATTTAATGAAAAACCCAAGATATGCATTTGATGAAAACCAACTAAAACACGTCAGCTAGATATTAAACTTCTGTTATTCTTTGTGACATTTAACAATATCAAAAAAGTAAATGTTTCATAATTGATTCAAAAACAAAAAAGTTTGTAATTAAATAGATAAATCTACAGAAATGGGAGAAAAAGTTTAAACTTATAAGTATAAATACGGCTCATGCATAACTATTGTTCAGATAGTACTATTAGAAAATTTTTTTAAATGAGTGATGAATTGAGAAAAATTTTAAGTTTAATCAGGATTATTTAAGAAACTTTCCTAATTTCAAGGGATTTTCAAAATAAAATCTTAAAGAATTCTTGATTAAATCAGGAATCGTTGGTACAGATATATGATTGTTGGGGTAAAAAAAATTATCTGAAATTTTTCTTATCAATGTGTGTGTGTTTTTCTTTTTCTGTACTTAGATTTAGAAAATAAATAAAGCACTCATTTTTATGCACAAAAGTGACATTTATAAATTTTAAAGAAAGGAAGAAATTTCTTTTATCAAATAAATTTTTCGCTGATCAACACACAAAAAAAAAATACATATACATATATAGTGGAACTGTTGTTTTACGGTGTCGTACATTATCCCGCTTCCAAGGTCCTTTTCTGCTAATCCAAGAAAATTGACTATACACTACAGATAATGTTCATTATCCCAAATTTTACATTACCCTCTCTAAGAAAATCCCACCTTATAAGTCTTTCTAACTTCTTCATCTTATTATTATTAAAATAAGAGACTTAGCTATTAGCTTTATCAATTATGTTTGTAGCTTTTCTAAGATTCTTTTTGTGACATCGTGCACAATTCATTGTCAATGGAATTAAATTCTATTTTTTTCCAGATGTTTGTAACATGTCTTGTGACGGAGAGAGTGACCTTAGGATGTCAAATGTTTTACCATTTTTCATATGCGATATTTTGGGGAATTTTAATTCATCTCTCTCTTTTTAATTTGCTTAACAATTTTTTTCGGTTGTTTTAATTATTACATTTCATTGAAGAAAAAAATGATTCTTCAAAACTCTTTTCCGTAGGTGGATGCATAATGTGACATCAGGTCACCGAATTTCAATTTCACAACATTCCTTTCTTTTCTCTGTTCTCCCTGTGGAGTTTCAAATCTGTTGAGTAAGCAGTCTGAACTGTCTCTATTGCATAATACACCTCTCTTCTTAATTCAAATTCTCATTTTTCCCTTCTTGTAGCTGAAACTTCTAACTTTTCTTCCTATAAATTCCCAGCAACCTTTATCCAATAACTAAACTTTTATGCCAGTCTTCCACCTTTCCCAATTTCAAATTATCAATACACATAGTCTAAAATGTCCATAAAAAGACTTGTAAAAAGAAAACTAACTTATTAAGTTGCAGACATCTTTCTAAATTATAAAAGTAAAGCATTCAATTCACAGAAAGGTTGTAGAACTATTTCATTATTATTACAGGGGTCTATCCAGGTTTTTTTTTAGAGGCACCTATTTTGTGAAAATTTAGATGCCCTTAATTGAGTGATGTATAGTTTGTTAAGTGTAGTTTTTGTCTTTGTGTTTCTAGTTTTATCTTCTTCTTAATAAATTAAAAAAATAACACAGGGTTCTGTCCAGGGTAAATTTACTGCCATTTTACCTTTACAAATTTGCTATTATATGATATCTCTTACGTAAAGGTAGCATGTGTTCGGTCAGATAGTGCAATATGGTAAGCCCAACCAGTCACTTATGTCATATCAAATCGAGCTTTTTTTCACAGGTTTTTTTAAAAATACAAGGCAAAAATACAACAAGGCTCTCCCTCTATAACTTTACAGGAAGTTGAAATTGGAACATTATCTTAAACACTATCCTACATTTATTCTAACAGACCTATATTTTTTATGAACCATTTTTTCATCTGTGAAACTTTTTTCTGTATGACCCTATCAATAATTAAAATAACTTTTTGTACTAGTACTGTTAAATGTTTGTTTTTATTAAATTCAAGGTCAAAATTTAACTATGGACAATGATTTTTATGGATCTATGCATTTTGTAATTTAGATACAATTTTTAGCCCAAACTTTTACAATAGCAAAATTGTTTTTGAATATATGGAGAAAAATATGTAGAAATTTACCAGTCATAAATGATTTTTATTTGTAGCGACATTTTTTGAAAATATTTTCTTCTTTTACCATAATTTTGTGTTGATTCTTTAATTTTTACAAATTCAAAAGATAATTAACTATAAAACAATGAAACACTCACTTTCTTTGAGCTGTGACAAGTCTTCTTCTGGGAAGTGACACAACACACGAGAAAACACTTCCCATCTATTTGTTTAAACTTTGAACTTTCGCTAGATATTGTTGATATTTAGTTGACAGTAAATAATATCAGAATTTTACGAAGCATGAGAAAATCAAATGCACTAAATGCAGAAGAAAAAAGAAGATCAAAACACAGATGAAATCGAGCATGCTGAAAAGCGTTAACTGAAATGGAAGATTTGAAATTTTCAAGTCGTAATAACATATTAAAAAGTAGTTCAATTTAATTACAGCCGAATAAAAAAGTGGGCAAATATACCATATGGATTAAATAACTGTTAGATTACAAATCGAAATTTGCAACAAAGTTACTACTCTCTGAACTAAAAATTTTTGTAAAAAAGAGAAAAAAACACAATTTCTTCTAGGGAATAAACTTTTAAATGCTTGCCATTTCAGAATTAGTTTTTAGAAAATTAATTTTGCACCATTTTGATTTATCGGGATATAAATCATTGGTATATGGAAGTCCGCGAAACAACGGCAAATCAACGGTTCCAAATTAGCAGGGAGAATCACTGTTGGTAGCAATGCATTTAAAATTAAAACAGGATATTACTTTAATTCAAGAAGAATTATTCTAACCTTTTCTGACTCTAGTGTTGCGTTCATCGTCTTCTAGGTACAAGAAAGTTGACATATTGCAAATGCGACCAAAAACTTTGACAATATGAAAAGTTTGGATCTGTTTTTCGATTGAGAGGAATTCAGCATACTCTACAACTTTATCTCGAGCAAAGGCAAAACACTTTGTAGTTGAACTTAAAAGAAATCCAGAAATAACATGAGATATCCGCGTTGCATGCTGAACTGTTATACAACATTGAGACATCAAACTATCCTCTCCTAGGACTAAAGAATCAGTAGAACTAGTCTAGAAAGCAAAAATAAAAGTTTAACAGATATATACTGACATCAGGGTTGTCACTCAAATCTGGAAAAAAAATTCACAGTGTTTTCCCAGTACATATTATACACAATATATTAAGAGCAAGGTGTGTAGTCAAATTTTTCAACAAAAAATAAGCACCTTTTAAGCACTCAAAAAATATTTTTAAGCACTTAAAAAAATTATCGTAATTAGACAGGGTTGGCAAATTTTGACAATTGACAGATTTAACCGTCATATAAAAAAAACCTTTTGACATAGTTTTTGAAAATTTTAGGGTAAGGATATAATTAGCTATTATAAATATGAAGTAATTTTAAAATTACATATACAGTAGGGGTGCACAACCTTTTTGAGTGAAGGGTCACTTGCACAGCAGGATGGCTAAGGAAGGGCCACACATGTATTTAGACATGTTAATGACTAATGTAGTAATGTTTATTTAAACATTAGGGTTCCATTTTTTTATCAATAAAACCAAGTGTACGGCGTTCAGTCGATTTTTCCTTACTTTTTTTTGCCGAATATTTGGTTTTTGACCAAATCACAATTCATTACCACATTCGACCAAATCATACTCGTTGCGGAAATAAAAACGAAGGAAAAATAACTAGGATTTACTATAAAACTGTACCGAAATACCGTAACAAAAAGTGATTATTTAATTGCACGATTAACAATCACGTGTCGCAATAACATCATAGTTAAATAACGGGATCGTCAAAATCATGTGGAAAAGTATAGAAATAATTGGGGAAAAATATATTTATGCAGAATTCAGCACGAATAAAGCGTGTCAAATGCACGGTTTAAAATTTGCATGTGGTAATAGAATAATTGGAATATTTTATAATACGTGGGAACGCATAGCAATAACTACTGAAAAAATTTTTGAAAAAAAGAAAGAAAGAATTTCAAAAAAAAAAAAGATAAAAAATCACTTAGATTTAGGATGAAATCGTCACAAATAAAGTGCACGAAAAGCGATTATTTAAATTTGCGATCTAAAACTCGCGTCGTACTAAAAATTCGGGATTTTTGAAAAAATCATTTTATATTTACTATAAAATCGGCTTAAAGAAAGCGCGTTAAACGTACATTTACTAAAGAATCTGTTAAAATTGATTGTGTCAAAACGTGAGGACTTAAAAGTGCGATTAAAAATTGCCATTTTTTAAATTTTTTTTTTATTGTGTTTAGAAGCTCTCGCGGGCCGCACTTCAGTAGTCGAAAGGCACTTTTAAGTCCTCACGTTTTGATTGTGTCAAAACGTGAGGACTTAAAAGTGCGATTAAAAATTGCCATTTTTTAAATTTTTTTTATTGTGTTTAGAAGTTCTCGCGGGCCGCACTTCAGTAGTCGAAAGGCCGCAGGTTGTGCACCCCTAATATACAGGGTGCGTAGTCAAATATTTCAGCAAAAAATAAGCATTGGTTCAATATCAGGTTCAAATTTCGGTTCAATATCGGAAGGTGGGAAATGAAGCATGAGATAGAGAATATCTTGCAAAATGCAGCAGAGTTGCACGCCTTTACATAATACATGGAGAAAATTTCATTTTCGAAAAGGGAAATTTAAGCACTTTTTCAAAACACCCAATAAAAAAAGTACCTTTAAGGGCCTTTAAACAACAAAAATAGAAAATAAGCACCTTTAAGCAATTTTTAAAAATGCACCATGATTTATGTAAAATTACAAGTGTTCCAACAATTATTTTCCTGAATCATTTTAACATAAAACTCTTTTTGCTTTGAAAATTACTGTTCAAAACAAATTTTTGAGTATTAAATATTAAGTAATTATAAATAAAAATGTGCCAAATTGCAATTTATCCAATCCCTTAATTTGCTTAGTTAAAAATACAAAAACATTTATCTTATTAAAAAAAAAACACTTAATAATCATCTTATTCTTTATACGTAAATTCAGTTTTCATTTACTTCAAGTATACCTCTTAAACTCTTTTCACCAAAGAAAGTGATTATAAAAAAATAGTTTTGAAGCCCTCTGTACTCCAAGTTTATTTTTTAGTTTTGCATGAATAAGACAGAAATTTCAAACTGTTCTCACAAAGTAAACAATGTCTTTTTGGATAATTTGTGGCAAAAATCAACATGGAAAAGAAAAAAAATCTCATTTTGGAAGAGGGAAAATTAAGCACTTTTTAAAAACACCCAATAAAAAAATGCAGCTTTAAGGTTTTTTAAAAAACAAAAAAAGCACCTTTAAGCAGTTTTTAAAAATGCTACGCACCCTGTGAGAGGAAACACACAATCACTGTGCTCTTAATAATGCTACAGTAAATGAACTAATATAGCTGAAATATCACCCTTAAATATGTCATAGATTGAACTTTGAGTGGTTATCATTCTTTAAAAGACGAAATTCCCGGCAATTTCCCGGTTTTCAAAGAAAAACTTAACCCTTTTAGTACTTTCCCTGTTATTTTAGGTGATTCTTAAATTCCCTGTATTTTCCAGGTTTTTCCTGTGGAGTGGCAACCCTGTGACATACATCAATAAAAGGTATACAGGGACACACTGTCAATAAATTATAGAATTTGGTGGTATGTAACAAGCAAAAAAAATTATCTCTTTTATTGTTTTCAGGACTTCAAATTATTAGCCAGAAATTAGATACACATTAAAAGTATTAGTCAAATTTCAATCAAAGGTATCAACCAAAGGCAAATTTTAACAATTTTTTATGCTTAATTTTCCCCCACATATTATGTAACTATAGAGATACTTATTTTATAAAATGCAAACTCTTGTAAAAATGTCAATCAAAATACCAAATTCAAATTTTGCAGGTTGTATGACACTTCAAAAAACGTTATGAAAATGAAAAAATATATATATAAATAACCTATAATTGAAGAAAAAAGAAACTATCAGTAAAGGACCTGAACTTAAAACAGAATCGCCACGAATTCAGTGTCAGTAAGTAATCATTCAAATTCAAAATTAAACCAGCAAGTGGTTCACACGTTGCAATAAATAAAATTATTATTACGTTGCATTAAAAATGTTTATATTTTAAAAAATATGAAAAAATGTGATAACTGTTAAAACTTAAAACAGCAAAATTATCGAATCTAATAGTGAATACTCAGCTACAAGATTTGAATTTCCTGTACTATAATACTATCAAGGTTTTAAAAAAATTATAGAGAAAATTCGTAGCAATAACAGACTATATGGATTTCTAATGTTTTCGATTCAAACATTCTAAATCCATAAGACGATGAGATTTTGAATCAGGATTCAGAGAAAATTTTGTGGGAATATAAATTATTGATTCACGGAATTCCGCAAAATAGCAGAAAAATTAACAATGAATTAAAATTTCTGTCACTCAAGTATTTGGGAGCCTCAAAGGATAAAGCGTTCATCTCCCAATGAAGTGACACAAGTTTGAATCTCTGCAATGGCTGGTTTGTACGAATTTATCGAATCTTAGCTAGCACCGAACAAAATGCTGACGTCAATTACCCTCATCCAGTGTTTCCACTACAGCACGAGAATCTTGCATATTTGTTTCTTTTCTCGTATTAAAAAATTATTACAGCGAGAAATTCGCTCATGCTATAAATAAATTTCGAAATTCGCAAATTTCTCGCATTTTCGAAAAAAGCTTAGAATTATGATGGGCAAAATCTTCTATGAAGATGCACCAAAATTATTCAATGCTTTAAAAAATAGAAGACATTAAAAATTTATTATAATTAAAGAAATGATTTTTTTTTTCAAGAGTTTTTGTGTTTTTTTAGTTTTTAGAAATCTCACCCTGTTCTTGAGAAAGAGTGAGAAATTCTCACCCATTTTTTTTTTCTATGATGAAAACACTGCTCATTGGTAGTTAAATCATGGGTTAGAATACTCTGGGCATCAGGATAACAGTGGAAGGCTTTCATGATTTTGCTCTTTATGTAACGCAAATGTTAGTCAAAAATATAACTATTGTGGAATCCCAAAGCACATTTTTACACATACCAATTTTCTGATACTATTGCTTATTTTTTAAAAGATTTTTTTCTTTTTAATGCTAATAATATTACATTATTTTCTAAATTGGCATTTTCCCTTAGCAAATATTTGTCATTCATATTTGATCACATAAAATGAAACATTAAAATAAAAATATTCATCAATGTAGTTAGTTAATTTAATGCAATAAAAAAGTAAGTGTATGATGAAAATACACACTTCTACAGTGTCTTCTTCTGAAGAGCCTTCTTCTGCAGAGCCTTTATCTGCAGTGTCTTCTTCTGAAGAGCCTTCGTCATCGGGTATAAAAATAACCATTTTGTGTGCTCTTTAAATGTCACTTGAACAGTCTAAAAGAGACAATTACTGCTGCAATAAATAAAAAAAACTAAATGAAGAAGTAATAACTTTCCAAGACATTATCTTTCAGTATGAGATAGATAGGTGATTTCAAAATGTGTTGAAACATGTTTAATAGGTAGTAGTAGCAAGAAATGGCTAACAAAAAAATTAAATATCAAAGTTTGGGATACCTGACATAATAAATATGAGATGACAAATTATTGAAGCAAGAAATTAAGTTTCTGCTTAACTCTGCATTTATTTTTCAACAGTTCATGTATGATTTATACTAGTAAGTTGATGTTATGAGTTTCATTCAGTTTATCTAATTTCTTTTCCATCCCAACTACGATACTTCTGTGCTTCATTGATTTTAGAATTGTTATGGAAACAGGGTTGGGTATTTCACATCAAAAACTTGTTTTTGTCACGACACACCAAAAACCTGGGGCAATTTTTTTTTGCTCGGTATTAACTGCTTCCCTGATTATCCCGAGTTTACTTGGTTATGTATATATTGCAAATATTCATTATCCCGAATAAACTCGGGTATAGCACAATTCGTCAATATGTTTTGTTTTATCACGTTTTTATTTAGTCGGAAGCAAAACCAAAAATAATAATAATAATAATCAGCTGTGATTGGAAGTTTGCCAATATTTGTTTGGGAGTTTTGCTATTTGTGGGACTGCAGACGTCTTTTGTACAATTGTATGTACGATGGTGGATGAATTTACATAGAAGAAAGAGTAAAAAAATGGCGTTCGCAAGCGATAGTGATGCAGATGATTTTTTCAGATTATGAAGATGTGAATATGTACAAAGATGACATACATACAGAGATAAACTGATGGTAAATTAAATATTTTTTACACATAAAAAATTTTAAATTAAACTTGTGTATTATGTTCTGTTTTAGTTCCTTGTATTTATTAAGGAAATAAAAAATATGTTGATTTTTTGCATTTTTTTTACTTTAAAAAAGCTGGAAAGAGAAACAGTTAAGATCATTTTATTAAATCATGCACAGCACTTTTACTATTAAATTTATGATGTCACTTATAAAGAAATATAGTTGAAATTATTGAAACTATCATTCGGTTTTTCTAAAAACATAGTGCTGATAATAATTTTTCAATATTTTTTGCAATATCATAACTACATAGTTTATATTACAAGTAATAACTATGAGTTGGATTTTAATGCTTATATGCCACAATTTAGGCAGATTTTTCAGCTTTAGTGAAACTAAAAAGTTTGCGCATAATTGTCTCACCTGAATTTCTAAAATTATTTTTGATTCTCAAAATTTGTTATTAACTTATATGCAGCGGAGCAGAATACCTTTGATTATGCGAACCAGGGTTCGGGAAAAATTTAAACCGTGTAGGAAAAATTTTAGTCTAAAAAAATTCCAACAAAATTTTTTAATGCTCAAAAATGAGCCACTTCGCAAAATTATTCCTTGTTAAAAAAACATTATTTGTCAATTTGTGCATTTATAAGTTAAATTTAATATAATAAATTCTTATTGTTTCAATATATTTCGATTATTTTTATTCAAGAATTGTGTAAAATTTGTGTTGTTATATAAACTTTTTAAAGTCGTATTTTTAAAATTCGATTTCTCAGGAACTGTTTGAAAATGTTGCTCAAATTTTGTGTTTTGTTATGCAAAGTTGGATTCATTAAAAAGATGTAAAAAATTGTATACCTTGCAACTCAAAAGTTTTTGGACCTTTTCGAATAAAATAATAAATATTTACTCAAAGTTAATATTCTGGACAGAATTATTTATGAATAAAAGAATTTTATGATTGTGTGCAATCATTTTTAGTTCGCTTAAAAAGTTCTTAAGACAGTGCGAAATGCGCAAAATATTAAATTAACATTAAGGAAAACTATGGGAAAATCAAATGCATTAAATGCAATTGGTTTTAAAAAAATGGAATTGCAATGGTATTGAACCTGTTGAAAAATAAATACTGAAATGTGTGATTCAAAATCAAATTTAAAATCTATTTGGCAACATGGCGATTGTAGTTGGCACGAAAGATCACCATAAGGAAATATCCCCGAATGCAAAGACAGCTAAGAATATCATGGTAAGTAGAAACAGTGTTTCATCCGAATTCTACACATTAACCTCCGATTTTAGCAGACAATCACTACAATTGTCAACTACAGAGCAAAAAGATTGTCTATAACCAATTTATTACAGGAAATAAAAAGTTTTATCATACTAACAAACAAGAGTTCTTTAAAAATATATAAATTTGTTGAAAACATTTCTTACTTGATTGTATTGTGGCAGAGGTGATAAAGTTAATTTTTCACAGTTTTAAACGCAAAGGAGAAGCACTTTTCTTGCAGTAATCTATCTAATAATTTTGTAATCTCAGAAATAAATATAATATTTGAATCATTTATCTCATTTTTACGAAAAGCTTTTCGAAAACGCTAGCTGTTCAAATTTCGCGCTTTCACTCAATGCATTCACCAGTAACTTTCCTTAAAACTAGCAGTTAGATGTTACAATTTTACACATCACATATTAAAAAACAAATAAGGCTTTTCCACAGAAAAAAAAAAGAAATCACATCACTGTAAAATAAAACATTTGTTGTAAAACATAGTCAGTACTTCATTTTGAATGTTTAATTATTGTAGAAAAGTGCGACGAGTTCTCTGCGTTAGCTTATAGCTCTGTATTTCCATTAATAAGGTTACTGATGAGGCTTGATAGCTAGCGAAAAATACAGTTAAGAGTTGTTGTTGTTGTTAATTTACGTCGCACTAGAGCTGCGCAATGGGCTATTGGCGACGGTCTGGGAAACATCCCGGAGGATGATCCGAAGACATGCCATCACAATTTTGATCCTCTGTGGAGGGGATGGCTCCCCCGCTTCGGTAGCCCGACGACCTGCGCGCGAAGTCGAGCACTTTACGGTAGCACAGTTTAACGAGGACCAATACCGCACACCCTCGGTCCCTACGCAGACTGATCCAAGTGGTCACCCACCCGCACACTGACCGTAGCCAGTGATGCTTGACTTCGGT